GGTAATCTGAATTGTCATAAGTGTGCTGTCAGCTCATTGGTCACAAAGCAGGAGAGGGGCTGGGAATTATGTTTTCAAACAAAGCGTTAATTCCATTAACATTTATAGACTACTTTTGATTCTCACTGTATTACGGGACAAAGTGCGTCTCTTATTAGCTCAATACGGGACGATTCAGTTTTTTAAGGGACGGTTGGCAACCCTACTCACACAGCACAGCACACACGAACACACATCAGCACCAACGACACTGACCTGAGGCATCCCATTTAAGGTACACCCCACCCTGCCCTGACTTGTCTCTGGGGAGGGGCATGTTTGTCCGTCTGTGGAAGTCTTTTACTGAGGACTCCACACCATCACTGTTACAGCAGCTTCCTGTCAGCGACTGGTTTGATGAAAGGTGCTGTTGTTGCATCTCAGCAGTTTATCTGGGACATTCCTCTGGTCCCAGTGGTCCCAGTGGCTCACTTGGCATGATTGTTATGCTTCACATCACAGTTTGCTATGTTTAATGACTCGGACAGATTATAAGAGTCCCATTGTTTGTTTAAGTCACGGTCCTGTTAGAGTCTGCATTTCTCTGTGTGAGCTGAATTTTAGCTGGAAATGTTTCTGCCTTTACTACAAAGCAGCAGCAGGGCATGCTGGGAAATATATTACTGCTACTTCTGCTCCTTTCTGTCATTTGTACAAAAACCCACGAACCTCTTGAATAAACTATGTACAATATATTGAACATACAATACAAATCACACCCAGAAGAAAAATCTTCTCCAGTAAAACCTGCCTGACTACATAACAGCGCCGCCCTGCTCACTGATCCACTCATCTGTTATAATAACACACTTACTCAGGCTTATCTGATGGCTGTGATTATAAACTCCTATTGTGTCAATTTATATTAATATTTACACAGATATGCTTATTTTACATATACTGTAAATAACACACACACACACACACACACACACACACACACACACACACACACAAAACCTGAATAGTGACCAAGAGCACGTGAGAGCACACAGAGCTGCACTGAATGAGTCGCATTGACCTGCTTGTCAAACTGTTCATAAGAACGTGAGCTTGTTTAACCGCGAGTGATGAAAAGAGCAGCTCTGTGTCATCAAACACATTTCACCTTTAAGGAGTTTCACTGGCTGTTAACTGTGCTGATGATCTCCAGGAGAAATGTGATGAAGTGTGTGTGTGTGTGTGTGTGTGTGTGTGTGTGTGTGTGTGTGTGTGTGTGTGTGTCCTGATCAGGCAAACATGGCTGCACACTCAGGAGGGGGCAAGGCCATGGCTGTGGACATAATGTAATAGTTCAGAGTTTATTAAAAGTATAAACTCTATTAAAACTCAGAGGATCAGAAGCATAAACTCTTTCATTTGCTTTTGTTTCTTTAGAATTTATTATTTAAACTCTGAAACGTCTCAGTCACACAGTCTGGTTACAAAATGCTTTGCGGGTGGCGTCTGCCGTGATTCACAGTCTAAACTCAGGACTGTGCTTACTGCAGTGATGGAGTCTCCCTGCTGTACTGCTGCAGTGTTGCTCTGACAGTCTGAAATACCCCGAGCATGTTTTGCGTAACACAGAGATTCATGCACTTATTCCTGAACAGCAGCAGGAACAAGAAACCACCTGGAGACAAACAAAGTATTTGCACTGTTCAGACAAACAATCAGGCACAAAAGAAAGTGTGTTGTCACTCAGACATGTAGCACACGCAGCACGCACACTGTTACTCAGTCACAGCTGAACTTCCTGTCTGCAGTATTTGGGTAGGTGACCTTTTGCTTTTAGGCAGGTTAAAAGCTGGAAATGACCCCGAGGATTTCCTACCTGCTGCACATGTTTGACATATCCAGATATTCACAGTGAGTCACCATGAAGACTCACAGCTCACCGTGTTTGGAGAAGCTCCGTTATTTAAGTGCTAACAAATGAAGCATCTGATCGTAAAACAAACTGTTTTATCAGCATGAGGATTATAAAGAGGTCCTTGGAAAAAATGTACCCCTGTTTGAGAACACCTGTAAGACCCAGAACACACCCTGAATAACAGGTTTTCCTGCGTTCCACACCAGATCAGTGCTCACATGTGCACCCTGATTCAAGAAGTTTAACAGGAAATTCCCCTGTAATTGTTTGCAGTGTGGAATCAGGCTGCCACTGAACACCAACCAGTAACTGCTAAAGTTGTGACCTGTGGAAACTGATCACTGAGCACCGCTGAGTAAACTGGTGAGCTGCTGGAGTGATGATGTAATGCTGAGCCTCTTTATCACAGCAGCAGGCAAGTCGTTTAAAGACTCCCAACAGGTTTGGGTCTTCCATCATTATTCCAATAAAGTCAAACTCAAAGTATAATTTTAGCTGGGGTGGACAGACTTCAACATTTTACTAGCAAGCAAATTAGCTCAGTCCCAGATGAGGCACGTGCAGACCCCCTGCACTCAGAACAACAGCCCAGTGAGAAACACATCACTTAATACTTCAGATGAAACAGCTGAAGCAGAGAGAAGAGCTGCTGATCAAAACTACGTCTCAAAGACAAACAGAAGAACTCAGCATAGACAAAATAAAAAGTCCCTTTCATAGTTATCAACAACACCATCACCTCAATGACAGACACACTCCTGACTGTAGGACCAGGTCTTATAATGACACTTAGTTTTACTCATTACACAAATAACACACAGTTACAGGCTGTCATCTAAAATCACTGAGTTATGTGTAGTTTGGGACAGGGACAGGTTTTCTGTGTTGAACAGCTTTGTGATTCAGCCAGAAGCTCCTGTTTAAAAGCTTCAGGAATCAAACTTACATAAAGCATAACCACACACGTTACTGTTACACACACCTTGCTGTCATCTGCACTAACATCCCAGCTGATGCAATGAACTCTAACATGACCTGTTTGCTGTGTCAAAGTTTGACAAATACAGGTTTGTCTTTAAAAAGGCAAACAATGATGAAAAAGGAGAATTACTCACACAGAGGGACAAACACGAGGAAGATGAAGCAGCGCATTGACGGAGAGCAGCTCATTCCTCAGCAGCAGCAGCAGAATGAGAGTGTCTGAGACACCTGCCGCGTATTTATACACAAGACCCGCCCTCCAACGTGACGATGTGATGGTCTGAGTGTGTGGCTGTAAAATTCCACTGAAGGGCTGGACCTCCCTGGTATCCACCCATGGGCAGGGCCTACAGCCTCCCTCATCCGAAGCTGATTGAGGCAATCAGGTTGGAGATTTAAGCTGCTTGCTGACACTGCTTCCTCGCCATGAAAAGAGCTTTGAGCAAAACTAGGAACAGTGCTCCAGGGAAGGATGAGCTATGCTATGCTAAAAGATCTAAGTGATGCAGCGTTAAATATATTGCTAATGTTGTTTAATAAGGTATGGACAGTAGGGCGTCTCCCACGTTGATGGAAAGAAGTGCTAATTGTACCAATAAAGAAACCAGGGAAAGACCATAGCGATCCTGGAAACTATAGGCCCATTGCTCTGACTTCCAATATGTGTAAACTAATGGAAAGGATGGTGAATGTGAGATTGGTTCACTTTTTGGAGTCAAGAAATGTCTTAGCACCCTATCAGAGTGGTTTTTGTAGAGGAAGAGGGCCGATGGATCCTGTCTTATGTTTGGAAGATGATATCAGGAAAGCGCAAGTTAATAAAGAGGTGGTGGTTGCTGTCTTCTTTGATGTAGAAAAGGCATATGATATGCTTTGGAGAGACGGTCTACTGATTAAGCTGCATGCAGCTGGGGTAGGGGGATGTATGTTTAATTGGGTGTTAGACTTTTTATGTGACAGAACAATTCAAGTTAAAATTGGGTCGCATGTTTCTGAGCCGTGTGTGATAGAAAATGGAACTCCTCAGGGAAGTGTAGTTAGTCCAACGGTTTTCTCACTTATGATCAATGATATTTTTAAAGATGTGTCTGGTAGTTATGGTAAATCACTTTTTGCTGACGATGGAGCATTATGGGTGAGGGGGACGAATGTTGACCATCTCGTCTGGAAACTTCAAGAGGGGATAGGTAGCCCTGGCGCAGGGTGCCGCCGGTGCGTCGAGCCACCTGGGGGGCTCTTCAACTGGTGGGGGAGATTGTCACATCTTGCAGGAGCTTTCCTCTCCTCAGGAACTCTCTGGCCTGCGCTCTCCGCACCCCTGCGCTCCTTCGCCCCTTCCTTAATCTGGCGTCCCGAGCCCGCGCGTGGCCTGCGCGTGGGCACCGGGTTTCACCTCTGGAGCCGGGCGGGCAGGGCTGGGCTTGCTTCTCGCGTTCGCTGGGTTGCTTCCTCCCACCCAGCCCCCCTCGGTAGCCATTTTTCCTCTCATCCGCCTGCTGCTTGTCTTTTTTGCTGGCCTTTGTTTTTCAGTGTCCTTCATTGTCTGTTTTTTTTCTTTTCTTGGTGCTGGCTCCCCCCCTTTGTCGGTTTTTGTGTCTTTTCCTTGCCTTGTTCTTGCCTCCCGGTCTGTTGTTGTTTCTTGTTGTGTTGACCTTTGTCTTCCGGTGTGCTCAGGTGTCGCAGTGTTTTGCCTTCGGTTCCGTTTTGGGCCCGTTCTCCGTCCCCGGGGGGCCTTCGCCCCCCTCTGCAGCCGCTTTGCTCCGTTGTCCCGCTTCTTTAGATGCTTTGGGGCTCCCTGTTCAGTGCGGTTCTTTCGGCCGTGTGGATTCCTCTCTGGCGCATCCCCGCTTTCTTGGCGCTGGCGTCGCTCGCTTTTGTCCCCGTTTTTTTTTTTTTCCTGCGCCCCTTCTCGGGCGCCTACTTTCTTCCGCCTGTCCCCGCGGAGCTTTCCTTCTTTTGCTTCGTGCTCTCGACTTTTGCGTTGCCCGCTTCCGTTTCCCCCCTGTCCTTGCGTGTCACTCCCGTTTCTGCTTTTTCTCCTTTTTTGCATCTCTCCTCGCTTGCTTGCTTCCGTGCCTGTCTCGCGGCTGTCCCCTGGCTCCCCTGCTTCGCTTTTTGTGCTCTGCTTGTCTCGGTGGCGGCGCCCTCGGTGCCCTGTTTCCTCTCCCCGGTGCCCGCCCTGGCTTGTTCCCCCCGGGCTTGCCTGTCGTTTTCCTGTGTCCTGCTTCTGCTATGCCCTTGTTCCGTCTTGTGGCGCGGGCGCCTTTCCCGTCCCTCGCTCGCGCTCGTTTTGTCCTCCGCTTCCCCCTTCTGTGCTGCTTTTCTGGGTGGCGGTTTGTTTGGCCTCCCCCGCATTCCCGGTTTGTTTTTATGTGGCTGCCTTTCTGTCTCTCTCCTCTGCTGTGGTTTCTCCAGCTTTCTTTTTTCTTCGTGTTACTCTACTCCTCTCGTGCTTTTTCCCTCCCCTGGTCCCGGCCGTCTCTTTTTGTGTTTCCTGTTTGTCGTCTCTTGCGGGCGGGCTTATGGTGTTGTTATTGACTTGTCGTGGTTTCCTGTCCCCTTTTCCTGTGCGGCTGGTTGCTTCCCTCTGCCGCCTGTGCACTGCCGGGGATGGTTCCCGCCTCTGGCCTGCTTGTCGTTTCCGGCGCTCGTGCTGTGGCGGAGCCCGCGTGTGGCTCTCTCTCCGCCTGTTGTCCGGTGCGTGTCCTCTCTCCCGTTGGCGTTTGCTTGTCTGCTACCGCCTCTCTTTTTTCCTCTGGTCGGCGTTTCTCGGTGGGCCTCTGCTGCCATGTTGACTCGTGACTGTCTTGCGTCTTGTTTTGGTCTGCCGTGCACCTCAGTTCGTCCGCGCGCGGAGGTGTGCAGCCTTCCGGCTTTCTGTCTGTTCTGTTTTGCGGCGGTTTTCGGCGCCGCTGCCCCTCTTCTCCCTGGCGCTGGTCAGCGTGCGTCTGGGGCCGCTGTCGCGTCTCGCTTTTTCTCTCCCGGCTCCCCCCTGCTTTTTCTGTTTTTTGATTTCTCCTCTTCCCTCCCCCGTTCTCCGCTGCCTTTGCTCGCCCTGCTGCCCATACGTCTTGCGCTGCGCCTGCGTGTCCTTCTTGCTCCCCGTGCTGCTTTGACCTGCGGCCGTTGCTTTTGTCCTCTTTTTTTTGGTGTCGTGCTTTTCTTTGGACCCCTTTCTGTCTCTCCGTTTTTGTCCACCGCCGTTTGCCGGTCTTGCCTTCCCTGGCTCCCTCCGCCCTTCTGCTCCCCGTGTACGTACTTGCCTTGCCTCACGTGTTCACCTCCGCGGTTGCGTGGCTGTACTACCCCCCCCCCCGTCTCCCCGTTTTTGCTTTTCCTCCCTCGCTAGCCTACTCCGTGCCATCGGGGGGCCCACCATGCCTCTCGTCTTTTTCCTTCGTTCCGCCCGCGCTTTTATGAGTTGTTCCTCTGCCTGGCGTCTCTGCCCCCGCACCCTGCGCGTGTCATTCCTCTCTCCGACCTCCGCCTTTTGCTTGGCCACTTGGCCCCGGCTCGGTTCGTTGTGTGAACTGTCGGGGCCGCCAGTCTCCTTTCTGCTCCCTTGTTCCGAGTTTTTCTTTTTACCCGACCGTCTGGACCGCTCCGCGCGAGCCGTCTGCCTTTACTTTTTTCTCGCCGCATGTCCCGGCTGTGACGCATTTCCCTTCTGCCTCTTTTGCCGTGTTTCGTTTTGTTTTCAGTTTGTGTGGCTTTGCTGTTTCCTTCTCAATGGTTTTTCCTTCTTTCCCTCTTTTTCTTTTTGTTTTGTGCTTTCTCCCCTGTCTCTTTCGCACGTCCGGATGGTATCCTTCTTCGGGCCAATTTTTCCGCGCCTCCTCAGGACCTCCGCGTTCCCCTCCCTTCTCTCCACCCCCGGGGCGGCGCCGCGCGAGCTTTTTGTTGTTATTTTTTCTGTTGCTTTTTGGTATTTTTTCTGGTGGCCTTTTCCTTTGCTCCGCTTGCTCCATCTTGGCCTTGGTAATGCAGGTCGCTGTTGGGCGTCCCCCCGCACTGTGGTGACGCGCGCCACCCCTTTATCCGGTCCCCGGCCTCATCGGTCCCCCCTGCCTCTTTGCTCTGTCGTGTAGCTTCTTTGCTGTCTTGTCCTTTTGTTCTCGCCCTGCCCGGTTCGCTTTTCTCCTTCTTGGTTCTCGTTGTGTTTGTCCCGCCCGCGCTTGCGTCACTTTAGCCGGCCGGGCGTTTGCTTGTCCGTGGTTCGGTCTTCCTTTCTCTCCCGCTCTGCTGTTTGTGTTTTCCCCGTTGTGCTCCGCTTTGCTTTATTTTCTGTTTCTCCTGCCTTTCCTTTTTGGTGTGTTCCTTTGGTCCTTGGGCTGGTTTCCCCGCCTCCTTGGCCTGTTCCGGGTGGCACATCTTTTCGGTTGGCCCCTTGCTGGGCTCGTCCTTTTTTTCTTCTGTGTTGTTTTTGTCTTGCGTGGTGTTGCTTGCAACGCCGGGTGTTGGGTGTTGTCCTGCCTCCCTGTGTTTTTTCCCTTTATGGCGTTCATCTGTGGTCAGCTGCTGCTTCGTTTTCCGCTTTGGCTTCATGTGTGTTGTCGTGCCCCCGTCTGTGCCCACTGGTGCTTGGTTTCCCTTCTCGACTTCTCCTGCTCACTGACTTTGCCCCTCCTTCCTTTTTCCCTTCCTCCCTTGTTGGCTTATTGCTTGCTTCTCTTTCATCTCTGTTGTCTTGGTCTTGGTTCTTCTTTCCCGCCTTTACTCCTGGGTTGGAGTTGGCTCTTGTTACTCTCCTCGGCTGAGCAGTTGCTTGGGTGTTTTTGCTTGTTGGGTCGCAGACTCTGATCTTGCCTTCTTTTGCCCCTGCGCCTCTTGTGTTCCCATGTTGCTCATCTGTGTGTTTTGGCTTCTGTCTTGGCCTCCTGCACCCGCTGGCCGCCAGCTTGCGTTCTGTGCCCCGTCTTCTCTTCTCTTCCTCTGCACTTGCATGTGTTCCCGGTGCTGCCGCCTGTTCTCCGTGTGTTTCTCTTCGCGTGTTCGTTCCTCTTCCTCTCCCGCCTTCGCCTCGGTTAGCGTGGTTTCCGGCCGTCCTTTGCTCTGCGTGGATCTTTATCCCCTTCAGCTTGCCCTGTGCTTGCGCGTCTGCTTCACCCCCTGTTGCTTTCGGTCGCTGGCTCTTTGCGCTGTTCCGTTGCCTTGCTTGGTCTTCTCTTGCTTGGGCGCTCTGCCGTGCTTGGATGCCCGGTCTCTTTTCCGCTGTGTCTGTTCGCCTTCTGGTCTCCTCTCCCCCTCCTTGTCCTGTTCTTCGGCTTTGTCTTCCGCTTTTTCCCCCACGCTTCTTTTTTGTCTTGCTC